GTGGCAACATTTGGTTGTTTCACACATGAGTTGTGTGGTTAAGTTGCAGTTTTGCTAAATAAGCAAATTTTGATACGGCCAAAAACAACCCACTTCATCCTAACGCCAAAACGTTTGATAAAAAAAAAGGTTTTAAATTGGTGTGTTTCCATTAGACGAATTAATGTTCGAAATGTCAAATTGTGAAATTATGTAATCAATGGAAACGCAGCTACAGATACAAACTTCTTTCATGATTTCATGATTATAATTCCATCCATTGTTTGTTTATGTCCGGATTTAAAGCATCTGAATTCTCCTGGTGTGGATTATGATGCATGTCTCACGTTAATAATGTAGAAGTTGGATTAAATGCGACATGTCCGTTCTGACTGCAGACTCTTTGATAATAATTTGATCCAAGTTAGTTCCATACACGGAAGTGGCTGAAATCCAACTTTGTTTTTGGTGCTTGAGTGAAAAGTTGAGATGCACAATCTGATATTAATATCTGTATTGGTCCTGATATTGAAAAACAATCTAGATCAGGAATTGGTGACAACGTTCCCGATCCATAAGAGCAGATCTACTCAGTCTAATTCTAGGCTTTGTTCTCTGGATGATGTAAACTTTATTTATTTTACATTATATCTAGAATTCCTGATTGCTCTTTTTTAACCATTTGAAAGAATATTTGTTGTAGTTTATTCTTTACATATTTGACCAAGGTAGCCAACCTATTGTTTTGTCAGTTCAGGTTTTTTTTTTTTTTTTCTTTTAATTGGCTGTTATTCTCCTATTTCCATTGACTGAACAAATTAAAGTTGTTTTTACATGTTTGACAAAGCTTGCGAAGCTCTTGGTGTATTTATTTAGGTGTGCTGTACTGGTGCAGAGTTATCAGATAAATTTGTAATTCAGTGCAGTTAAAAATAAATGCTTTAAATCAATTGTATTGGATCGGTGTCAGCTGATACCAAACCACAAGTATCGGTATCGTAAGTAAAAAAAAAAACTCCTCGTGAAAATATTGCATTTGGATTCAGACTACTGTGAAAAAGCCAGAAATGAGTTGCATGTTGTCAAAAAAAACAAATCCAATTTTGGTCGCATTTTCCTCCCGTAGTCTATTTGGCGGTGAGGACGTTTCGCCTCCTGTTTGCTCTGCTCACCAACAGGGACCAGAGGGGTTCAGCTGGGGCTCACCACCTGGGTCTTTCTGGCTGCACAACATGCCTCCGATGATAATTAATGAGAATTACTGTTGCAGAAAGAGACATTTTGGCAGAGAGGGCTGGAGAAATGGGGGCGACTGGACTGAGAGGAGATCATTGAGACGTAATGACTGTGGTAAAAAAAGACGGAGAAGAATTGGGTGGGAGGACAAATGAAAACAGATTGTGGTGAAGACAAACCAGTCCTGGCAGTGGGATGTTTCCCCTTAACTGGTGACAGAAATATAAGGTGAACATTTCAAATGTTACAGTACAAAGAACAAGATATTAAAGATATTTTTGTATGTACCAGATCCAATTCTGGTTCTTGATAATTCTTTGTCCCCTCGCGTTATTTTCTAAAGAAGAAGTTACAAATGACAGAATTATTTTCTTAAGAAAAAGCAGCTTTTCTTTTGGTCATCCCTCCTGTATTACAAGAATATAGTCTCAATATTAGCAGAATAGATGCAATTTTACCAGAAAAAATGTCTTAAAATTACAACAACAAAAAAAGTTGTTTTAATGAGAAAAAGGTTTGACTTGTCAGGATCTGACATGACTGAGCTGTACTTAATTTATTACCAGTTCTGTTAGTATAGTTCTTTTTTTAATAAAATTTTGTTTATCAATTTCTCTGTCGATCTCGCTTATTGATTGTCATTGAGTTAGGAAATAAACTCTAAATCAAAATAGGCTCTATGTTTTATTCAATTCAAACTAATTTGATGCAGATATGTTCAAAAATTAATAATTTCTATATAGTAGTATTTATAAATTTATTTAATTATTGTGTTGGAGTTTTTGTAAAATTACTACTTGATTCTCCTTATATTACAACTGCATGCTGGTAATATTATAATTTTATTCTCATAATTAAAAAACAAAATCTAAATATTTTGTCGGAGTTGACCTGAAGTCAAGGTCTAAATAAACAGAAGCGTCTTTGGTTGCGTTAAAAACTGAGCAAGTGTTTCAGAGAAAAATAATTCACATTTTCCAAAAATTAAATCCCCAAAGCCAAAGTTTTAACTCCCAGCTGTAGTTTGGGGGCATTGAGTCTAAAAAGATGTATGTTTTATTTTTATTTTTTTTAATGAAAAAAGTGAACCGTTATTCCTCTCTATCCTCTACCTCCAATAAAACGCTTGTTTGAGTCTCAAGTACAGTTGACTGGAGAGAGAAAATGCCCGAGGCTCGGCTCGGTGTGATGAAACAGATCCTAGGGAAAACGCCACAAACGCCAGATTAAGGACAAACCAATGAAAATAATTAGTTTTGAGCCAATGGTTCTCAAAGTGCCAACTAATGTGGACTTAAAGAGAAACGATGCTGGCCAGGCTCTTTCTACCAGCGCATTAATTATAGTCAAGTCTCTCAGAAGATTAATAGTCCAAGATGCTGCAAAATAACTCATTATAATAGGATTTCAGAGAAGTAAACTCTGTGCAGTGTTTTAAAGCTTTACCAGAGTTTTTTTTGAGTAAACTTTTGCTTTTAGTGTTGTGGATAGGATCAGCTTTGGTTAAATTCATTTTTTAAAAATCTTCCTCTGGAGTTAAGATCTTTTTCTAAACAGCTTTCTGTGACAGAAAAAGAGGAAGATGCTGCTAAAATGCATTTTCAGTATTTCCTTGACCCAGTTTGGTTCCTTTTTCAAAAGAAAAATCAGCTACAACCAAGCTTGTGTCAAAGGAAAGGCTGCAATCCTTCAACAATTTTTTATGTCATTATGGGGTGTAGATTTATACATTTAAATGAGAAAACAAGAAAACAAAACTAAAAGTGAAGCGATAGGAGTACAATTCCACCATTTTTGATATTTGATATCTATTAGAATAAACTTATTTAGCTTTGCTGTGTTTTTACATAAACTTTTCTTGTTTTCTGATTTAGAGTTTCACAGAAAACATGAAAAATTTGGCACAAAAACTCAAAAATTGGTCCGATTGAATATGACTGGATGATGGCAGGCGACTCGCATGACTTTATTTTCAGAACTGCTAAAAGTACATTTATTTATTTCTGTCGTGATGTAGGTCTTAAATTTCATTCATATTTATATTTAAAAGTCTTAAATGTCAGTTGGTTGAGGCTACTGCTAACTTCTAACAACTGCAAGCTAGTTTTTTATTGCATCTGTCATGAGTAAAGGTACATTTATTGCTAGTTGGCTGGACAAAGTTCATTTAACGTGATATACTGTAGGTCTTAAATTTAATTCATAATGGTCTTAAAACATCTTAAATTTGAATTGAATCTAACTAGCTGCTGACATACCATTGCAAGTTAGCTAACTTTTTTGTGTCTCTCATGAGTACATGCAAATTTCTCACAGTTGGCTGGATGAACTTTGTAGATTTACCGCGATATATGTCTTATATATCCTTCATAATGGTCTTTAGAAGTCTAAAATTTGAGTTTGTTGAAGCATCTACCAACTAGCTGCTAACATACCCTTGTTAGCTAACTAGCTTTTTTGCCTCTATCAGGAAATTCTTACATCCATCGTGTAAGTTCAAATTTATCACAGTTGGCTGGATGAAGTTCGTACATTTCTGTCGCAATATAGGTCTTAAACTTCATTCATAATGGTCATAAAAAGTCTTAAATTTGAGTTGGTTGAAGCTACTGCTAACTGGTAACTTTTTTTGCGTCTATCATGAGTAAGGGCAAATTAATTGCCAGTTAGCTGGACAGAGTTCATACATTTCTGTTGTAATAAATTTAGATCTTAAATTTAATTGATAATGGTCTTAAAGAAGTTTTTAATGATAGTAACATTTTTTGAGTTGTACTTGTACAATTTTGATTCCAACAATTGTTATTCAGCAGCAGCGCTGGAGCAGTTCTGAAACACAGGAAAATGATATAATTTGAACTAAAAATAATGCCAGAATCTTTATTTTCTTAGCATTTGTCACACCTACGGTGCAAAATTCAGGGCAATTGCTGCTACTTTGGAGCGCACGTCCCAGTTTAACTACTGTAGGTTTTAACTGCTGCCACTGTAAAACACTGAATTAATCTGAATGAGTTTCATCACCTCTGCTGCTTAAATATTCCTTTCTCACCAAAAGGGACTTTTCCCCTTTTTTCCATTTTAAGAAACAGAAAAGGTTGTATGTGATGCTGTACAAACTGCCCTGATGGACACTAATGAGCACAATGGTCTTCATGTTGAAGCGCGCCCTGAGAGGCAGGGCTGTGGAAACGTAGTGTTACCTACACTCACAGAGTAATTGCCTTTTCTTCTGGTTTAATGATATTCTTGTCACGGCCAGCCCTTAACCTTGAGAGGTGTCCTTGCATGTTTTTAAGCAGAAGCCGAAAGTTTGCTCCATCAATGAGAATAATGCCTTTTTTGTTTTGCGTTTTTTGCGTCAGAAATTAGTCTCAGATCTCTGTGAATAGGAAGGAAGATTGACACCTATTTGGTTTGTTCCAGGTCAAAAAGAAATCCAATTTGGAAAACAATATAACTAAATAAACTATCTGTGAAAGGTAGATATGGTGTTTTGGTGCAGCAGAGAGAAGAATATTGAAACCTTTTCCCGATAAACATTTCCAATTAGCATGAATTTCACATCAGATATCTTAATCAATCCATGAAGAAAAAAGCAACAATGAGTTACCTGAAATTGCATAAGCTGCTCTGTCTGCTAAATGCATAAGACTCCACTGATGAAGAAAAAGACCAAGATAAAAAAAAATGTAATAGGAATATCAATTTGGAGACAAATTCTCTGACTTGATGGCAAAGTCTTTATGGCATGACAGTAACTTTAATTTTATTTCTACTATTTACTATTTTTTGGTGATAAACAAATTTTTTGAAATTGGTCTCATTTGGTAAAAATCTAAACACTTTGTGTCCAGGATGTGTGGGATCAGCAGAGATCCTAGCAAACCCTGGATGAATGCAAACTTAATTGTTTTAATTGCAAATGATGGCTTGGATTAGGTGTTTGATTGATTTTATACTTAGTGTCATGTATTCCTTCTCTATATTGCAATAATATCTTTATGCAGTTAAATTGATTGTTGTTTATCTTACAGTTGTACCAATTTTCATATAGAAGTGTGAAAAATGTAGCCTCCTCATGTCTTTTCTCTGTTGTTGTGATGTTCTTAAACCCTTTGAGGTTGACTAATAATAAGTTTTAAGCTGTAAATATGTAGTAGATTTACATAATTTCCTCCAAGGATTAAATGAAACTGCCTGAGCCTCTACATCTTCTGGCGACTTGCCTCGTCTCGTCCCCAGAGGGCGGGACGTCTAACAGAGTCTGACAGTCGTTGTAACTGCACTCTAATTAGATTATTCAGCATCTATATTAATTCAGCAGCAAATCACTTTGCTTACTTAGCATCAGACTTGCAGTCTGTGTTGCAGGAGGCCAGAGCAGGATAAACAGGTTTCTAGCGCCTCCGGCTATCGGGATTGTATTGGAGTTAAACATGGTGGTGTAAGCAGCAGAGAATAAACTGCACCAAACAGCTGCTTGTAATGTGGTTGTTTTGTGCACCATTCTAAGTTGATAGTTTATAAGGTTATAAATTAAGGTCGCCGCTTACGATTATTTTAGTTTCTGACGATTAATCTGGTAAAAGAAATTGTTGCATTTTGCAGATTTTTCAGGAAACCACTCAAGCCTTTTTTGTACATTAGAAAAACATCTAAAAATGCAAATAAGTAATTAAATTCCTCATTTGAAATAAGAAAATAAACATTTTATTGCCTAAAGTATAATAGTAAATGTGAAAAGCTCGGTCCTTTTTGCTTGATTTAACGTCAGCATGGAGTTAATTTTTATGATTTTCTTTTTTTTTATTAACAGATCAATTATTGGACAGGAAAAGGTGCTTAACAGAAAATTTTTCACATAATTTGAAATGGGTGAGGCAAAAACTATGACACTGTAAATGAGTTCTGGTTAAAACATATTTACAAAGAATGTCCTCCATTTTAATGCAAAATTTTTTCATATTTTTGACTTAATTATTGCTCTGAGTATGTAGTTTCTTTTAGTCTGTATACTCCAGTTACCGATTAATGGATTGCTTATTTGATGATTAGTTCAGTTATCAATTCATCATGATTAATCAGATCAATCATTTTTCAGTCATAGTGTAAATAAAACACCTTCAGCTTGTATTCCTTGATACTAAAGAAAGCTTTCTTTTGCAAAAAATAAATAAAAATTAGAAGCAGCACATTTTGGGTTGGAGTTTTAACAATCGTTGTCTAAGAAAAACAACGAAAATCATACAAAATTATGCCCATCCCCTCTATTCTTTGCACAGAGTTTGCAGTTGCTCAACTCTGTGATGTTAGAAGAGCAGAACCAAAAGGCAACCATCTCCTATTACCGGTTGCTCCACATTTCTCTCATCATTCATGGACATGAATGTCATAGTGATGGATTAAATTACATGCAAACGTGGATACGGTCCTTGATTAAAAACCATCAACGCCTTTATTTTTTTTCTCTTCATGAGTTTCTTTCATTTTTTTTCATAACAGTGGTCGCGGTAGACTTTTTTGTTTATTTTTGCACAGATGATCCACACTGTGGCTGAATACATTGAACTTTTCCTCTGCAGAGGCATAGTTTTGAAATCGGGGAACTTTTCACCAGAAGTCGGAAAGACTCTGATCCTGCAAACACTTCCCTCACCGGGAGAATAATCCTGCATCATAGGTCCAGCAGCTCCAAATCCTCTTTTCCATAAATCTTCATCTCAGGTGGCATCCAAATCAGAGATGATATTCTGATGGGCATTTTTCCTAAAGTGATGGATTTAGTGACCTCTGCTGTGTTCTCTCTGGGTAAAATTGAAACTGTCTAATCTCTCAAAATGACAGATGACCCTCTGATTTTTTTTTTCCAGCAACATTTTTAAAAAGCCCAATTAAAGATGGAAATGTTTGGTTGATAGTAAGTCTGGAAAATATGTCATCTACCATGAGTCAAAGTGTGAAACTTGTTACGTCCTCTGGGTGGTTTGAAGTCCGTTTTCGTCAGGACTTCAGAGTAGAGTCACCACTTCTTTCCATCACCAGTTGGGTGGTTAGGATGATAGATTGGACAGATTTCTGCAGGAACAGCGGAGCGTAATGGTAGAGCTCACTTGGAAACACAAGTTTTCCAGGATAAGAGGAAAGAAATTTGGGAAACTTGGAAAGAGGAAGCTTTGTGGATGTTTGAGGTTTTTCCCTGTTACTTAGTCTTTAAATTAATGTAAGGAACTCATTCATTTATGCTCCTGTTACCTCCCAGTTTACTCAGTCAGTAAAGGAGACAGACGTTGGAATATGATTCAGAGTAAAGACATTTGCAACAGAAATTACTCTTAGCTTGGTGCTGTTAACTTCATACAGTCTGAACTGCTCACTCTTGAAGTTCTGGCTCTTTTTGCTGATGAATGCTGAAGTGAAGCTGGTTTTGTAAAAGACTCCTTTGACCTGACGTGCCTCGGCTTACAGGAATTGATCTTGCTTGACGGTGAGAAGCTCTTGACGATGCCAGGCACGCCATCCTTTGGTGTGACCTATTGAGCTCTTCAGCCTTGTTTCTGTCTTTGCTGTAATATCCAGCCGAATCCGTTCGGATTGGCTCGTCTTTCCTGGGACTGGGATTGGGCCTCATTGAGAATCACAAAATGGCTTCCATCACCTTGAAGTTTCAGCAACTACTTTTCTCAAGGTTGCTGAGGGGGTAAAAGCAGTCAGGTGATGCTCGCTATGTAGCATCTCTTGTTTAAGCCTTTGTAGAAGTGGGTTTTAATAGGAAAATCTCAAGAGTTTGAAGATTTAATTCATGCTGTCGGGATGATCTTTATGAGCGTTTGTGAAGGAGAGTGGGTGTATTCACATGGGAGTAAAGTTAAACCTTAACAATGCAGGTTGATAAAAGCAAGGAATGAAGAGTGAGAGGAGGAAAATATGTTTAGAAAACCAATTTCGTGAAAGAAATCCAGACTGACTTAACTTATGGAGATAAAACTGTCAAAGAAAACATGAGGAGAAAAAGTTAATCATTTCTTCTTCCATTTGGAGTTTATGGGTTGGTAACTACTTAGCTCCATTGCATTTAAATATGACCCATTTTGCATCCTTAAACAGGCTAGGATGGATCTAAAACATGTTAACTACATTTTTCTGCACAAAATTATTTTTAAATGAGAATTTAGTCTGCTCAGTTCTGCCTGTTTTGAGCTGTTTTTGGGCCTCCAGTTACTGATCATCTCTCCATGTTTGCAGTCAACAGTATTCACTCTATTGTTGCCAATCAACGACATTCTTGCTTCATTTTGCAACATTTCAGACAGAAAATCTAAACTGAAATCAGCAGGTCAGGCTTTTAATAGATTGGCCAGAAACCTGCAATCCCAGGTTTTCATAAATAACGAGCGTAAATGTTTTAAGGCAGTCAGCATTTTAATCAACTGTGACAAAAGCAAAGAGAAGCAAAAATACAATTTAAAAAATCTGTTTATGTTTAAACTGAGCAGCTGTTGGGAAGCAAAGTTTCCCTGCTGCTACATTTTTAAAACATTGATGATAGCATGTACTCCCCTTGAGAGGCAGGGGTGGGTTTTATCTCGAGCTGCGATCAGCTGATGTTCTGCACCTGGATACACGCTGTCAGCTGTGATCTATGAGCCAATTACGGCAAAAATGTCTGTCTAAGCATTACCAGGGTCGAACGGACTGCCTGGGATATTAAACAGATTACATTATACCTATAGTGAAGTGCGATGGCTGCAGACAAGAGAGGCTTTCTGTGTTGGCAGTTGGAGGCTCCCCCCATCGATGGCTTCCTGGTTTCTTAACCGCCACGCTGACACACACGCTCACGACTCCTGCACCTGGCGGCCAGCCAGGTTCGGGTTTTACCGTCTGCATGACTCGACTGTGCCGCGGCACCCTGTCCTGTGATGGGCAGCAGATTGCTGAGAGCCCTTTCACTGAAATGAGAGCTTGGCAGAGATGATCAGCCAACAGGTTCAATACTGCATCAGACAATTTCAGTATAAAAACGCAGTGTCAGACCTTCAAACTGTTCGCTGCCAAAGACTCAAAATATTGGAAAAATGTTATACTTTACAAGACTGGCAGATTGAAAGTAATGTTTTAAAGTTCTCCATCTGAACCGACTAGCAGGGAAAAGAGAAAATTAATCAGGAGAAGTGATAAAGGGGCAAGTCTTTATTACAGAGCTTTACATTTCAGGTGGGAAAATCTTTTGACAGGATAACTAGTAGTCCATAAATCTGACTTTTTATGGAACAGTGGCAAGAAGAAAGCTCCTGTTTTGTAGTTTGCTACATGCAAGCCTGCTGCAATAAGCAATACACCAGTTAATTTCCTGATAAATTAAAACGAGTTTAATAATCTCCATGCATGATTGTTTTCCCTTTTCTGTCTCTCTTTCCTCCAAAAACTGGATGACCAATGGCTTCAGTTTGGTGCTTTGGTTTCAACTTGCCCATTTTCTGAAGGGCAATTTTGTTGTTTTGGATGTTTTGCTTATTTACTTTGGATATTTAAAATGTCTTCCAGTTTCAGTTTTATTGATCTTTGAGATTATGTATTTACTTGAAAATGGTTTCAAAACAATAATTTTATTGTTTATGGCGATTGGGGAGAACTGATTGTCCATTCAGAATTTGGCCTATGTGATGTAACATGATAAACATGTTAGGAGCTGAAATTTACATGAAAACTGTTGTATAAAATCAAGTATTTTAGAGGTTGTATGATTTCTCTTTTGTCTTTGGTAAAAGACTACAAGCCATTTCTTCCACTAGCAATAGAGTGGCATGTTTGTTTTGGTTGTATTTACCCAGAATGCTCCTGTACTGCAGTTTACTTCCTGCTTTCTTTTAGCGCCTTCTGGTTTGCTTGGCGTTCGCATTTGCTTTCGATAACCGGTTGTATATTTTTTTAAAAAATACTTTAAAGTGAAGTCAAACTACAGTCCAAATGCATTTTTTAAGACTGGTGGAAAAAAAGCTGCATTAAAGACTCCCAGAGACCAAGCAGCTGACAGGTAAAACATGATCTGAAATGCCCCGAGGCTGTGCTGTTGGAAGCAACTTTCAGCAGAAAAATAAAACTTTCTGGCAAGCTAGTACAAAATATATCATTTAAACTGCTACAGACACAAGAAGTATTTTAAAATGACTGACTGAATCTTCTTGCATCAGCCAGCTTTCTGTGGCCAACATTTCTCTTTAGTCCAGGGATTTTTATTTTTTTGCATAAACAAATCATTTAATATAGATGAGATGATTTGGAGGCATGAACAGAAGGAAGAATCTTAAACGTGAGCTACTACGGTCAGGATATTTTTATGGACTGTCGAAAACATGTCTACTACATTTTTGGCACAAAATTATTCTTACATGATGATATTTTAGTCTGGTCACTTCTGCCTAATTTATCACTATAAAATGATAAACGATACAATAAATGCACAGAGGTGAAACCAACTGACCAAACGTGCTGGAGCTCAGCCTGGGTTGCTAGGTAACGGGGCTGGGCTTGGCTGGGGTTGCTAGGTAGCGGGGCTGGGCTTGGCTGGGGTTGCTAGGTAGCGGGGCTGTGCTTGGCTGGGGTTGCTAGGTAGCAGGGCTGTGCTTGGCTGGGGTTGCTAGGTAGCGGGGCTGGGGTTGGCTGGGGTTGCTAGGTAACGGGGCTTGGCTTTTTGAATGAGATTTAACAATTGGGAGGTTTTCTTAAGCTGCTCGTTTTCCAGACTCCAAAAATTCAACCAGATGTTATTTTTTTATAAAATTTTTTTGAAGTGCTGTTTTTAGAAACAGTTGAGACTGAAATGGAAGCAGACATATTTAATTTCCCTTTCGAATCAATAAAGTATTTTCGAATTTGAATTTGAAAAACGTACAAAATCTGAATGTTAGTCTGTTATCATTGCACAAAGACACAACAATGAATTTGGCAACTAAATGTCATTGTTTGGCTACTGGAGTAAACAAAACAAAAAAAAAACATTGAAAAACTGTAATTCCTTTAATTTTACACCCTAGGTCCAATGTAATAACCCACATCTTTTCTTTGCACCTTGCAGTGAGTCTGGGTCGCTGATAGTCTTTAAGGTGTTATTGTGACATCCTCATTACTTTGCCCTTCACACACTTTAAAGTCCTGAACGTCCTTGTGGCGCTGCTTGCCATTCATAGGTGGTTTGCACAGGTAGAGCAGCCTCGGGCCATTGCTTTACTCTCACAGCTATTTAAAGAGCTCAGAGTATCATGCCTGTCCCTGCGCTGGAGATAGTGAGGGCTTACACTTGAAACAGAATCAGTCAAAGCACTGGCATGCAACTATGGCTATGACTCATTCAATGAAACCACACCGAGACAAGATGGCAGCACAACGATTCGTATCTATTAATTTTACATTAAGAAACGCATTAAACCGCACAATGCATGCTGGGAAATGACAGCTTCAATGGTACAGAATGCACAAGACACAAAGAGCTGGGTAAGAGAATCAGAA